TCTATGTTAATTGGGCTAAAAAGTACTTCCTAGGTTGTGTTTTCAATTTTTTCTTTTTTTGTGATTGTTCATTAGAATGAAAAGAGTGTATATTTCAAATTTGGATCAAACAAATGGCCATAAGATGGTTTTTTAAGGTTGTTGCATCATATTACTATACAACGGTTGCATGAAAACATTGCTCTTTAAAACTCATCTACATTTTTTGCAAAGCCAATCAATGCATGCAACAGATTTATGTATTCCACTATTCCACACTTTAGGAGATGGTTGTGAATTCACTCTACAACTATTTTCATAAAGTATTGTTAAAATCTTAATGACCTAGAGTTCATTTCTCAACTCCTTTAAGTGTCATTTTATCCCCAGCCTTATCCGACAAAGAAAAAGTTAGCCAAGAAAACAAATAAACAAAGCAAGTAATAGGAAAGAATCACTTAACCAGCAAGCCCTTTGGCACAAACACTTCAACACTCATCTGTCTGCATGCCCAGATTCAAATGTTTCAGCCAGACTGAGTCACTCAGTCAAGCTTCTAAATTTCTCATACCATTTTCCAGATGTAACAAGGACGTTCGCAGGGTCATTGAACTTGTGACATTAATCTGAGTCTCTAAGTCTACGACGGCTAGTGATTTGACTAGGAGTATGAACCCACATTGGCCAATAAATGTCGCGCAATTGCTACCGAGGTCATTCAGCAAGAAGACAAAAGGACAAGACTTGCAATTATACAATATGTTATTATGAAACAATTTAATGTGAGTACCTAATGAAAAGAATTTTGAATAGAGAAATTAGTGAAAAATTTATGATAAACAAAGGACATGAAAAGGAGAGGAAATATTTATATAATTGAAGATACAATGGAAGCTAAAACACACCTATGCTTTAAAATAAAGGAAGACAAGGTCTGGGTAAAGAGGTGTTGATGATGCGCAAAGTGCATCAAGTGGACAAAGTGACAAGTATCTTCTATGGAAGCAGCAGATTCCTCCTGATTATTGCATATATTTGGAGGATGTGAACCATAGGAGGCCTACCAAGAAGAATAAGCATTGTTTAGGATAATTTTCTAGTTATTTCAGGGCTATTTTCAGTCTTTTTTAATTGCTGGACCATTTGGGACTTTTTACTCATTTTATTTATAGTTAGTGTATGGGTCGTCTTATGATTTGTACGGACAACTACTATCTTTGGAACATTAAAAGGGATATAAAAGTGGTGCATGAGGGGCTGGAGGCTCATTCAAGTGACTCTATTTCAGAAAAATGGAAGGAAAAGCCCAAGGTTTTGAAACCTTAGCTGAATAATGGAAGAATCCCTTGGTTTCGCCTGGTTATTGCTTGAGTCTGGCCTGAATTACAGTTGTTTTTCGGTTCTCTTTTAATTTTGCTACATCGATTTGGTATCCAAGCTCAGGTGTTTTTCAACAACAAAGCCAAGAGGCTACAGCCAAGTTCGGGGTTTTGGGCCAAGTTTTGCAAATAGCCTAGATCTTACTGATTTCGACGAGGTTTTATTTATTCTCTACCTACAGTTTGTGATTTCAACGAACCTATGGTAGCGAGAAGGGGAGGGGGTTTTCGCAAACCCACTTCGTGATCCTAGAGATGAAGAAATTGAGGACTTTAAAAGGCAAGTTCAACAGCTAATGCAGCAGCTCACTATAGCGCCCCGAGAAAGCCGAGAGGTTCGTGACCACCCCAGCGCCTTTTGAACACTCTACAAACTGGTATAAGATAAAAATGGTACTGGAAATGCGATCGCCCCTTGGAAGAGACCAAGGGACTTATGATGATGCTTATGCAAGTCAATAACCTCGCAAGCATTATACAAATCAGAAGTGAGCACGGATTATGGAATTCGCTCAAAACTGCAAGTATTAGACTAACCTTAAGATAAATTCTTAAGGGCCCTAACAGTTGTAGCACCTAAACAGTGATTCTATACTCACTACAATGAGCTCCAAGTTTCCTTTACGAAAATTCTGAATTTTTTACATCAAAAAAAATTGTAAAAATACTTAAGGAATACAAACACAATAATGAAAATTGACCTTTGCACGATGGAGAGAGAGATAAAGATAATTTACATAAAGCAATAATGGGTTACCTTCTATAAGCCCCAAATCAGCAACTCTTTGAAGCTTTTGAAGATGCATAAACTGATCATAAAGCAAGCAAGGAAGCCTTGTAAAATTCTCTCACTTCTCAAAATTTTAGCATAATTTTAACATAATCTCCAAAAAGGTACTTAAATTTTGTGAGTAGGGCTATTATTAGAGTTTTGAGAATCCTAGAGAAAAGGACACAACTTCAAATAGCACCATGGGGCGCAATTCCGAGTTGCGCCTTGAAGCTAAGCCCATGCAAAAAGTGCACCCCCAAGGCTTCGACAAGCGTGCAAAAGACTTGGAAATGATGCCAAGTGTCCAAATGGCTAGTTGACTGGTCGAGACGCTAATTCAAATTGCACCATCATTTGGCTAAAAATAGGGTGGGATTTGAAGTTGCGCCCTGGTGTGCAACTTCAAGTGGCACCCTATTTTGGACGTGTTGGCTTCCATGTAGAACGTGGGCCCCAAAGTGGCTCCACATGTGTTGCAACCGATGGAAATGAAGACACGAGTCCCAACGATCAATTAT